ATACACTTTATTGTATGAAAACAAGAAAAAACTAAAAATTTAATGTTTCCTGCTTTTGTTCTATTTTACTATTATTCCTTTTTCTCACTAATTTTCTTCATATTTTTTTTTTCCTTTTTTCCCTATTTTTATACTTCTTTCCCTCCAAGCGTATTTGCATGTAAGTGAATGTAACAAACCCAACTGGCATTGGGACTCAGCACTCCAATTAACAATTCTAAGCAATTATCCATTACACCAAGACATCCAAACTGACAGCATCTGATATTCCCAAGTGGTCACTCATTTAGGCACTGACCATGCTCATCAAGGTTACAGGTAGATTAATATAAATTTACATTAAATCTATGTATATATTCTACATGATAACTTATCCTATATTCTGCTTTGTTGCATTAGATACATGTCTATGTACAGTTTCTTTAACAGGAATTTATGACTCATCAACATTGATCAACTAGAAATATAACAATTTGTTTTTATAAAATACACAAAAAATAACCTGACTTGTTCATATTAATCCGTGAAGACAGATCCATGATATCTACATAAAGCACCATTTCCTAGAGTAAAGAAAGTGAATGAGATTACAAAGGATACATATTTTAAGACAATTTTTTTAAAAAATAAAATTTACTAAAGCAAAACTATATGGATATAACATCAAGTAAATACTTCTGAAGAATAATTATAGTGGAAACAAGAAAATCTTTATTTTGGTTTTTACAAAACCATGAAGTTTTAACAGAATTTTTTTTCTACTTTTATTAATTGATTTTACCAGGTGGTCAGGTTTTGAACTCACAAATCTTTTATCCTCAGGGATACATGGCCCAGTGGATAAAAAAGTGACTTGACCCAAAGAGTTCAAAGTTTAATTCCTAGCTACAGAAAAAAAAAAAAACTTGGAAAGTTGAGTTATTACAGGGAAATAACTGAAACAGATATCCAGAAAAGGTATAGCACATGAAATTAGAACAGTTTACCACTGTGGACTAAATAAAAGGTTTGGCTTGAAATTCCAAAGTAGATCACCTGAAGGAAGCTGGATGGCTGAAACATTGTAAATATGGCAATAAAGATGAGGACAACAGTCCAAATAGTGTCAATCATTACAATACCTCATCTCAGAAATATAGACAGATACTGAAAAATTAACTATATTTATTTCAATACTTTTATTAAGTATATTTAATAACCAACTAAAATAGAATTAAAGTGGAGAATTTAAGTATTTAATCACTGAAATTTTATTTCTTTCTAGGAAAACAAAGTATAGTACATAAAGCTTTGTTAGCATATCTGTATATGTATAGCAGCTCTCCAGAAACACAAGTTATTAAAATATATATGTTGTGGATAGCTAGCTAGAGGTAGCTATAGTGTATATACATCTATGTTAGACATAATTTACTAAAAGTTTTTTTTTTATCTTACTGAAATAAAATAAAAATAATTTCAAAATTTGAAAAAAAAGCCATTGTTTTGAAATTTTCTTATTAAATAAAAACACAAAGATAAAGAAAATCATAAAATAATCAAAAAGTATTAAAAAGTTAGTAAAGATTGGAAAGTAGAAATCATAACAGGTTGTTATATTATACAATACAGGCTCTATTAGTTAGGCATATTAATGATCAACACCTCTATCACTGCTACATAAAATATATAACAATATAACAATTCCTGTTTTCAGGTAAGTGAATGTCTTAAAAAGTGAACCTAAAGTTAAAGCAAATTTTATATGCTGAACTTTCATCAACCACTTATGAAATGAACAAGAAAAAATTAATTAAAGTAATCAAATAGCAATAATAATAGTTATTTTTCTACTATCAAAAAGGTTAATGAATTTTGTTAATACACAAATATACTGGAACTAGTAGTGAATCAGACTAGTTAGCAGGAGTGAAAAATATAGTCTTATTTACTTCTCACTAATAAAGCAAATGAATGTTTTAAACTACATCTCTACAAAAAAGTAAATAATTTTGAATTATTTACTTTTAATCATACCAGAAAAAAAGACATGTAATAAAAGCATTTCAGCTACTTTGGCGTCCAATTTCCAAAAGAAATCAATTGTATTCCAGTGTAACTATTATATAGAATTTATTGATATGTAACTATGTACAATTGTAAGTGTGATAATTTGAGACTTTTCTCTGATAGAACTGTTATAAAATAATCTTGAAAAAAAATTTATTTAAATTGTGAAACACTAATTTGATTTTTTCATCCAGTCTGTGAAAAACACAATGTTTCAATGTAATATAGAAATCAAGGGATATCCTTTGTGAAATGTCAAGAAAATTATTTACAATTAAGAGCTAAGAAAAGTTGTTGAAAGTTCCAAGATTATTTCATTATCTGGATTAGTATTTTCAACATTGTTGCTTTCAATACAATATTTTGATGGATATATTCCTCAAAATTTTCCTATTATTTCTGACAATATTTGTATTTTTGAGTTGGTTCAGGAAATCTCTTATATTTTTTTTTAAAAAAAGGAGAGAGGTTGTAGATAGACAAAGGTTTGGAATGTTTTCCTGAAAAGGGCCAGAGGACACATTGGCTGAAATGTGATGAAAACAAAGTTAATAGTACTAATCTGAATAATTCATGGAATAAAAATCTATGAAAAGTAAATCAGTTGATTTGATACTGATGATTTTGTTTAGAAAATCAGGTTTTTAAGATTTTAGTTTTAACAGACATTAATTAACACCAAGATACTTTATTCTTAATTTCAAAGATTCATTTTTTTTTCCTAAAAAAATTCAATGACTGTATTAAATCCTTTAAACTGATGAATTTCAGAGCAAAACTAAACCATATATTAAACCTATTGTCTCTTGATTAACACAATTTTATATGAAGTATAAAGCTACATTTAATATCTAATTAAAAGCAAAATCATTACTGATGCAAAATTCAAAAAGGAACACTGTAAGTGATTAAATGCAATAACAACAGACAAACACAATGCTTGTTGGATGAAATAGAAACTTTGTTTTCTCCAGGTAAAATAATAATCTTATTTTTTTATGGGGCAGAGACAGAGGTATTGTGCTCACCAAACATAATAATGTGTCTTGAAATAAAAATCTGTTGTTTATAACTAATCAGAACTTCTTTGACAGTTTGATATAGTATAAATCCAGAAATATGATTGACATTTTTTTTTTTTTTTACAGAAGAAGAAAAAAGAAAGAGAAAGAGAGAAATACATAAAAAAATGTTTTTCTAGTTAGATACAAACAATCCATGACTAGGATAAAACTAAAAGCATAGGATACCAAGCAAGAAGCATTAGGATTGGCTTTTTTTTTTTAATTATTTGGTTTATGTAAACAACATTTACAAAGTAAGCTAGAAAATACAAAATTAAAGATTAAGAAATTATTTTATTTCTAAAGTGTTAATTGAAAACTTTCTAAAAGTGAGAAATTCAATACTAAGAAAAAAATAAATCAGTAAAGGTTATTAACAAAATAAATCACTGAAAAAACTGATTACATAAAGTCAATATTAGAATGTTACCACATCGAAAATTCTAATCTATAATTTTTGTTTTGAGGAATATCAGGTAAAACAAACTTAATGTTAACAGTAAAAATTCAATCATTTTAACTTTTTATGTTGACTTTTTTCACCATACATCAAGACAACAGCCAAGTAATATAATTACTAGATATTTTCATTTTAAGAAAATATTTTAAAACAAAAACTCTTCTAGGGTTCATATAGTTAATATTAAAAAAAAAAAAATCCCTGATTGTTATGAAAATATCTAACATTTCCACAATATGGTAACATTTAAATACTGATTTAATAAAAGAAAATAGTCAATTGTAAGAAATTAAAAAATTTTAGCTGAAAAATGTGTAAACATTGTTTACAAAAAACCCATTAACACAGAGTGAAGAGGGGACAGTAATCTGGACAGCCAGTGTCAAATGTGCTCTGTTTAAGCCCAGAGCCACGCTGATCTATGCTGAATACACTTTCAACAAATTTGCCAAGACATGCTAAAACAGGCTTTTGCTCATAATCAGTTTAACTAAAAATATTATTGAATATTTTCATTTTAGATAATTCACTCACCTTTTACTTTAAAAGGTGATATTAACAACTGATAGTATATTTGTGAAATGGTACAAACTAGTATTTATGAGCCATTATTTTCAAAATACTCATCTTTATTTTGCTTTTGGAACACTTTCATTGATGTAATCTCAGATCATTAACAGATAACTTCAAAATAGCTTTTCATTTTGTGTCAAATGATGCAAAATGTAAAGGGACCAATGTAAAAATTACTGAAGGAAAAAAAAGCCTGCCTTAAGCATTTATCATGATCTGAGATCACATGAACTAGTGTGAAAACAAAAACAATGAAGGTATGTCTTAAAGAAAAAAAAAGAAAAAAAAATACTCATAAATAACATTCTTATGAAAAACATTTAAAAAATGTGTACTAATATTAATTTCATTTTCCCCATAACGATTCATTTTTCCTTCCTCATTAATGCTGAGGTTAAAAATATGATTTAGAGATAAAGGAGAATTTTTACTTTTAAACAAAAAACAAATAAATAAAGTATTGTATACCTTAACCTTATGCCATCTTTTCAGGCATGAACAAGTGACAAAATTTGTGGCCAATGAAAAAAAAAAAGAAAAAGATTCCAGCTAAATTCCTTTTGGATAGCATTTTGCTTTATGTAATTAGTAAAAATAAGTCTGCAAAGTTTTAAATTAACCTCAGCAGTAACAGGAATATCTAGGGCCTCATTTCTTGGTCAAGTTAATAGATTATCTTGGTTTTAATCAAATGAAAGGTAATTGAATTGGTTCAAATGAATGAAACAAAACAGAATTTATGTGAAAATTTATGTTTGGTTTATGGTGATTATTCTTTTTTTATATGGTGGGTAATTCAGCAAACAGACAACGGTGACTATAGATAAACAACACATAATAACGTCTACCTGTACCTTTGAATACCATTGTCCAGCTGATGTGAGTCTGAAATTTATCAAAAAAAAAAAAAAAAAAAAAAAAAAAATAAAAAGCATATTTTGTCAAATTCTTGCAATAAAAGTGAGTTTTATTAGTTATTTAAAAAATAATATAAAAAATGACAAGGAAAAATAGAAAATGAAAGCAACTTTGTCTCTTTATCTAAGCCCAAATTTCTTTTAATAGCCATATCAGACATGTCATTTTTATGTATTAACTATTCTTAAAATATTAAAAAGTCAAGTCATTGCATATTTTTTTGGACGAATAATACATAGTACATTATCCATCATTTGACATTCACCTTCCTCAGTCTACAAGGGAACTATTAATAACTGTTTTCCCTAATAATCCTTACTTCAGTCTTCTTGTAATTCTCTTTAGTATAAAAATAACCCCGCAATTCATAAATAACATGTCTAAATTAATATATTTACATTAATGAGACACATCTCAACATAATAGTAAAATAGAATATCAAAGTCAACATTTTATTATTAATTACATTTTCATATGAATGGATACAACTCCTGACACCTTTTTTTCTTTCTTTTTTTAAGCATTTCACCCCAAGCAAGGCAGGAAGCCACTAGGACGCAAGGGGTTACAGAAAATTTAGAGCAACATCAGATAGGAGTGATAGAAGAAAGGATGAGGGTAGTGGATAGATCAAGGCAACTGGAGATATCGATTGACATTACACTTGAATAGCTGGAGATTATCGCTCACAGGGAAACAGGAGAAGGGAAGGGAGTTCCACAGGCGAGAGGTGTGAGACATGAAGCTATTAGAGTAGAAGAGACGGCTACATTTAGGAGTTTCGACAGTGAAGGGGTGAAAGCGGGATGCCAGCCTCGTAGGGCGTCTGGGAACCAGCAAATGCAGCTCCTCAGAGCAATTTCCATGAAAGTATTTGTAGAACAAACAGAGGGAGGTGACGGCACATCTGTGAGAAAGTGACTGTAGACGAGACGTACCAATGAATTAAATATGACTTACAAAATTTTATTTATATTTTCACATGAGTTTATTCTTTCTTAAGCCTATTTTAATGTGATTTTTACCAAAGTTAATCTTAATTAGAAATATTTAAAAATAATAATGCAAATGTTGACTTTTTATATATTTAATAAATTTTAACAGAAATCAAATCTTGTATCGCTAGAAAAATTTTCATTTAAAATATTTATAACATATTTTAAAACATTTACATTCTAGTCTTGCGTCTCAGAGAAAAAATGTCTTTATGAAATTTTGTATAAAATTACATAGAGCAATGATCAAATTATATCAAAAAGTAAGGAAATTATTATATCCCAATTTATTTCTCTCTATGTATATGAATAAACTCCTCATAGAAATACCAAATGTTGCTCCAATCATTTTTAATTATAAATTTTAAGCAATCTCTTCCTTTATCAGTAGGAAGTTTTGTGCTTGTAATCTTTGTAATCTGCAAATCCAACAAATTCGATTCTAAGAAAAAAAAATGTTCAAATGTGATGTAATTAATTTTTATTTAAATAAACCAAAAAAGTGGGGGTTTAAAAAGGACTGTATGAAATAAACTGTAATTTTTTCCTCCCTTTCTCACAGAAAGTAATTGCCCATAGAATATTACAAAAATATGGCTTTGTGCTAATGTACCATAGATTGTTTAGTATGCAGTTAATATAAATCTCTCAATCAAACATTGGATAATCTGAGAATAAATCATTTTAGTAAAGGAGCATGAATTCATCAGATCATCTGTCGGTAATTTATATATATATAATTTATTTTCTTTTTTTCTAGACATCTAAAGTTTTTTAAATAGATATAATTGGGAAAGAAATGGGTGATTTGGGTGGTGTTTACTTGTTGATGCATTTTTCATTCATTTTTTTATATGAACTCATGATCTTGTATAGAGTATCCAATAATTGCTATAATTACATGAGTGAATCAAAAATAACTATATTATTAGTGCAGCAACCTTTTTATTTTATTCAAATTTGTGTAAAGCATTTAGAAAAAAATTTAAAGAGACAAGAGTAAATTAATCAATAAATAATACACAGAAATCATTAATAAATCATGTGCTAAATAAAGATCATTAGATATGTAGATTATTACATGTTTTACTTGACAGTTAAATATTAAGTACCTGAATTGCTACCAGGATTTGAATTGTCAAATTGGTAAAGTGCCAGTTAAAAATGGTACACACTATTCTGTTATTTGAAGTGAATCAACGCAACACAGACAATTACACAAGACTTAACAGTAAGCTAAAGTATTAGTTACAAGTATTGGGACTGTCTTATAAAGTGACTAAATAAAATGTAATATCATTTAAAAGAAAAAGTAAGAATTAATAGTTACATGGTAGTACTGTTTGTAAAACCAAGTTTTACAATAGATATTAAAGATGGAAGAAAATAGATAAATAGGAAAAAAATAATTTAAAAAAAAAAAATAGGAATGCTAATTTGTGTTTTTGATATTTAATATGAGTTCCATCGAGTTTCCTACTACAACAAAAACAGTTTTGTTTTTGCAAGTAACCTTTTAAAAAATTAGGAAATATAATTACACCTATGATAAAATGTCCAAATAAATCTACATGTCTTCATGGACTACAATTTTCTGAGTTCTTAGGGTTACAGAAACAGATATACATGTACTTTATTCTACTTAGGCTTCATATATCATTATAAGATAAATTATTGATATTCAGAAATACATAATTTATACAATTTACTACTCAATGATTTCAGGGATAAAATCACTTATGAAGCTCATATAGCCATAACTATCAGTTCCTTTAATATTAATACAAGATTCTTCTAAGAGTATAGGATAAAAGGATTACATCGATCTGAGGGGTTTATACTTTTAAGTTTGTAGATTAACAAAGAAACTATACAAAAAAAAGTATTGTGATAGAAAAAAAAAAAAATAAAATTACTTTACAATAGATTTATTCACTGACAATTATGCATACCGACAAAAGTTATTTGGAAAAAATAATAAGTAAACTGAAGATATTTGGTATTGATATTGTCTTCAATTAAATGTTCATAATACTTGGACTACTATAACAAGTGCATCTTGCAAACCAATTTGAAAGTATAGCAAGTTCAACCTTGTAAGTTGCCCCATTAATTTAATTTTGTACCAAACTTAGCTTAAACTTAGTACAAGATTGGTCACATTTTATGTAAAATTTAATTCATCTTAAAATAATACAAAATGGAAATTGTAAAATACAATCCCAAATACCTTCTAAAAACTTAGTTTCAAAAATTAGTTTATGACTTATCCAAGGTATCTCAATATGACAGATTTGGATAATACATATTTAGTAATCTTATAAGAAAGGAAACCAGCCATTTACAAATATACATTGTAGATGAACATAAGGAACAGCTTGGCATTGATTTTATTTGAACAGATTATAGTAACTATAAAATTACACTATGTCCCCAGCATCTAGAAACATCCCTTAAATGAGTTTAAAATACATGAACAACAAAAATATTAGATAAATCTGTACTTTTTTAATATCATATTTGATGTGGCTTTTGGTAATATATAAAGATTCATCCTATAAAAATAATCCAAAATGCATGTAAACTAGTATTAATTTGGAAATCTTTTTTTTCTCTTTCGTAGATACTTATGTCAACTTTCTTGCTAAGTAGAGATTCAAAGTAGCCAATACTTCTATTTATTCAGAAAAAGGGAAATTAATTTTAATACATAAATTTGATTACATCAAAGCTAATGACAAACACATTGCTTATGGCTATTGACCCATAACTGTATATATGAGCAAATTGGTAAAAGTATCAATTACAATTTTTTCAAAATTATTTAAATGTCAGCATAAAAAGAGAAAGGGAATTAAATTAAAAGTTTGTGTAACCAAAAGTTAACAAACAAGAAATTGTGTTTTGCTGATTTTTAAATTCTTGTTCTCTTCAGCATTTGATAAAATGTCAGTTTCATTTGTAATAGCCTTATGTATTTCACTGTGATTCAGAAAAAGGTTTTATTTAAAACGACTAGCAAGAAACCATTTAAACAAAACAATGAAAATCAAAGTATATATAATATCCTAAGTTTTTCAATAGGAATGAATATTAAAGTTGAAATGATAAAGTAGTTATTGAACCAATCAGATAGGGTAAAGGTTGAAAAGAAAAGTTCATTTATCACTCTGTTTTAAAAAAAGTTTGCAAGGTTGTAGGTAGGTCAAAGTTCTTTATAACCACTATTCATAAATAAATATTACCACTTAAAAAGAAAAAAACTGATAAAAGAATATTATCTTAATTATTAAAAAAAGTATTTTTGTTGCATGTTCAATCATTCCATATTTAAAACAAAAAGAGCTATTAATAATAGTGCCAATAATTAAATTTATAACTTCTTAGAACATTACTGCTAAATCCAAATTTGTGTATCCCTCTTGTGATATAATGGCCATGCTAGATCAACATTTCTAGCTTGCTCTTCTAGCATGAGTAAAGCTGAACATGTATTTCAGGCTAAGGAATTTTTTAAAAAATGCCTACCATTTTTGAAAACTGACAATAGCCATGTGTAAAATTTATTTTCTGCTGCTCTAAGTAAAAACATTAAAAAGAAAATATAAATAATTTTGAAACTTCATAAAAATGGCATGTTAATTTTTATAAAAGTTTCTTTTTGTTTTTAGTTTCAACAAATATTATTTGTGAATACTTCAAATGACCAGTACTGAAATTTGTTATAAAGATTTTGCACCCCCCCCCTTTTTTTATGGAGACAGTTGACCAATTACCGTTCCAAGTATTATTTTCCAGGCAGAGGTTGTAGTAGATGAGAAAACAGTGTACACATTTGATAAAAATTTTCCTATTTTGTCAAAACACCAGCAAAAATTGAAATCTGCACCCATGACACTGAATTTTTTGAAATTTCAGTTTTTTCAAAAAGTTAAAAAAAATATTTTTCCATACATTCAATATTTCTGAAAT